GCAACTCCCCCAAGCTACGAGTCCATGTAATTCAGGAAGCGTGTTTCAGGCTCACCTTTTGAGCAATACTTAGCCCCCCCACCCTTCTAAAGCTCTATAGCGTAGACACCTGGCATCTTGGTACCCTGAAATTAGAGAATCGCAAACCATTCCCCCCCCTCCCAGGCGTACGTCTAATCATTCTGGTGTATCGCGTCTTGCTACCTCGACCAACGAGATGAGACTAGTCGACGCTCTAGCTCTCACCCAATGATCCCTTCAATCAAGGCCTTTAGGTGAACAAGGGACCTTGTTTCAAGAACTTGAAGCAGTCACTCCGCTTTGGCATGTGGCTTTACTGAGAATAAAACAAACGAACATTCGTACCAAGGACCAAGGTATGATGGGAACTTTGTATTAAGTGAAGACGAGATGGTTTACGTGCAGGACTGACTACAATCACCCCGAGTCCAAGTTTCTTCGAATTTCGTCGGAAATACTCCGTAGCGCTTGCCTATTTGGCACGACATCCACCCGACCTCAATTAGTAAAGAACACGAACGAGAAACACATCTGGATTGTTTGACTCAAGAAACTCTCGGATTTATAAGCATCAGCTACAACGTTACGAGGAAGAAGAGAAAATGGGCCCAAGAAGACCAAACCCCTCATCTCAAGGCTAGGATGAACCGCGGTTAGTAGGGGAAGGGGGGGACGGTGGGAACAGGAGGGGTCCGCCGCCCAACTGTCAATTCAACCCCGCTAGTCATGTCAACTCGAGGCCAACTTTCTTCAGCAGACGGACGCGGCCGACAAAGCTTCTCGGTCGTGTTATGGCATAAAGATTGAGACGGAATTCGCGACCCAAAGCCACCACAGCGCTTTCTGGTACACGAGCTTTGAGTGAACGAGTTGTGGTTGACACCGGAAGTTACCCGCTTTGCAAAAATCATGAGCCACCCCGTCAACATAGCGTCCATCGGCTTAGTAAAAGAGTAGTTATAGCTTCGTCGAAACTTCGGCTGGAGAACCAGACAATACAACTCAATCCCACCTCACGAGACGGGGTCTGTAGGCCGGCTCGACAAATCTATCCGTACCCCAAAGAGCGGTGACATGTTCAAACGCCACCAAAGAAAAAGTGACAAAGAGTCGGTAACTTACACACACCCCTGACCGGCCCGCACCGCCTTCGATTGCTTTCGCTGTATCGGTGTATCCCCCCACAAGGCCCGGCACCTAAACTGGGGTGCAGGGGGGAGAAAAGAAAAAGACGGCAGCAAAACCCATTGCCCTCCTTCCAAGTTCTAATGCCGAGGCAAATGCCTGCATATCTTCAGCAATGCGTTTTGCCGCAGTGGATTCGATTTTCCAAGGCTTTTGCTCCTCCGTCTCGGACGAGCTGCGCGGCCTGGAGGCGCGGGAGGCCTTTGGCCGTAAACTGATTCTAGGCCCAAGAAAACGGGATTCCCAGCGGGAGTGCCTAGCCAAATCCACACGATGTGCGCAACCCTTTCCGCAACGGAATTTGAATGGGACGGACCACAGATATAGATCCACACGTTTGCTGTCGAAGGGCCCCCCTCCCCGAGTGGTCGGTCGTTCCATATGTAGGGCCTGGCTCGCAAGTAAAGTACAGGCTTCTGCGTTCCTCTGCAATCATCCAATCGAGTGAATCGTCGAATCGTCGAGCCTGAACCCGTCACGAACAGCATCTTCACCCGTGAAATACAAGTCTGCGGCAGATCAGATACCTACCGAGAGAAAGTCGTCAGCAATCATAACCTTAAGATGACTCCCCGTTATCCCGGCCGACAGGATGTCGACCCGACACCTCTGGCCCAGCCGCTGAGCTTCCCCTTCTCGACGGCCGTCGCCCCGAACCGCCTCATGAAGGGCGCCATGTCAGAGCGTGTGTGCACATGGGATGTCGCCAACCCCTCCAAGCGCGGCGCTCCCACCGAAGAGTTCCTGAACCTCTACCGCAACTGGGGTACCGGCCGCTGGGGCGTCCTCCTCACGGGCAACGTAATGATCGACCCGGCCCACCTCGAGGCACCCGGAAACCCAGCCATCTCCCTTGAGCACCAGCCCGTCGAGGGTGAAGAGCGCTTCGAGACTTGGCGCCGCATAGCTGCGGCGGGTAAGGCCGGAGGCTCTCTCCTCCTCGCACAAGTCGGCCACCCGGGACGTCAGGTCGTCAGCGCCATCCAGTCGGACCCTGTCTCCGCCTCGGATGTCCAGCTGGTGACGGACTTTGGGGGCATGACGTTCGCCAAGCCGCATGCGGCGACGTTGGAGGAGATCAAGAAGCTCACGGAAGGCTTCGTGCACTGCGCCGAGTACCTCGAAAAGGCCGGATTCGACGGCCTCCAGCTCCACGGCGCACACGGCTATCTGATGGCGCAGTTCCTCTCGCAGACGACAAACAAGCGGACGGACGAGTACGGCGGTTCGCTGAGGAACCGAGCTCGATTCATTACCGACGTCGCCGACAGTATCCGCGCGCGGACGGGCCCCGGGTTCGTCATGGGCATCAAGATCAACAGCGTCGAGTTCCAGGAGTCCGGATTCACGACCGATGAAGCTGCAGAGCTGTGCCAGCTCTTGGAGGAGCACAAGTTTGACTTTGTCGAGCTGAGCGGCGGGACGTACGAGAGCTCTGGGTGGCACCACAAGAGAGAGAGCACAAGAGCCCGTGAGGCCTTCTTCCTCGACTTCGCGGAGAAGATCGTGCCTCATGTGAGCAAGACCAGGACCTACGTCACGGGTGGCGTCCGCTCAGTCGGCGCCATGGTTGATATCTTGCAGGCTGGACTCGATGGCGTGGGCATCGGGCGGCCTGCTTGTGCGGAGCCGAGGTTGCCCAAGGACATTTTCGAGAACGGTGTCAAGAGTTGTGTCAAGCCTCTGCTCGACGAGCAGGACTTTGGTCTTGGAGTCGCCATGGCGGGATCGCAGATGCTGCAGATGGGCCACAACGAGGAGCCCATGGACCCGTCAGATCAGAAGGCGACAGAAGGCTTGGTGAAGGACCTCACGGCTTGGAAAGCTCGAGTGGCTGAAAGCAAAGGGCAGCTGTACGGGTTCGCCAGGCTGGAGTCGGCTCCCGTGTTCCCGTATGGCGGCAATGCTGCCCCGGCAAGATTGTGATTGGAGTCTCGGTCGTCATGAGTATCCCGTCGTTGCCTGTTCATATACGAGAGGGATATCAGAGTTCGTGCTACCGGGTACTGTCTTGGTTTCTACCGAGACATGGTATGATTGAGCTTTGTGATCTGCTGTGAAGACACGGCGGTGTGTGTAAAGTACCTATTTAGACAATGTCTCCTCAGACCCGCTGATAGGCAAGAGCCAAGGGGCTCTGAGAAGAAATTTTCGCTATGGCAAATCGCCAACAAGAAGTCTGCCACTCTGGAAAACGTCTTCAAACACAAATTGGACCCTGAGACGCGATTCTAGATGCTATCGAGAGCCGTATGACGGAGAAACAGACGTGGACCCCTTGCGTATGGTTCACCTGAGTCTTCCCAAGTGAACCATGGCTCGACAGTGCAGAATTTGGTTAGTGACCAGACCTCTAGAGTATCATGTCCAACTGAGTACGCGGAACCCCGGGGCTTCGACTGGCGTGGAACTGTCTGTAAGCCAGAAGGCTCTCACTTGTTCGGTCTCGCTTTGCAACCTGGTGCATGTGCTCAAAGAGATGCACATGGAGGGTTGAGAAATGCAATAGGTACGGCAGGCCGTTTGATAGTACAGAGTGACGTGGACAGAGGAAGAATGGAAGTGTATAAGACACCGCATACGAGAATGTTCGCCGCTCGGTCTCTTCGCACCTCCTTTAGTCGTGTGTGCCTGAGCAGAATAGAGTAAACAGCTCGTGAATCTTGACTCCGGAAGCGCCCCTGAAGTCAGCATACACTACTTAGAGTGTATGTAGATTGAAACTCTGAGATCGGTAGCAGTGGCACACACATGGCTCCTGAACAGCTTTCCTGACAATTACGGTGCTGAGAGCATTACTCCTTTCGGAATTTTGCGGGGTCAGAGGTGGGTTCGAAAAATTGCCCGAGATTAGCTCTTCGTATGGCCGGATGGCCGGATTGCTCCTCTCTTTTTACCTTCACCCACGAGAAAGTTCGAAGTAGCGTATTGGACGGATTTATAGAGAACTGGGCCTGATTTCCACTTGCCTAGAAGAGAGATAGGCCTTCCACGACTCGAAATAGCATATTTAAACCATCTCGATCTTAAGTTGTCGCACCGGTTCCGATGAAGAAGAGGATAGTGATAGGCAACCGGTATGAAGATCCGAGAAGATTGGCTGCATGATCTCCGAGTTGATGTGGCGCCGAGCGTCTGGTGAAGCGGAGCGGCATGGTTCATCTGACTCGACAGATCCATGGATGATCGGAAGTTTTGAGAAAACAACCAGATGATCAGCAGGAACAGGTTTCTACTGTTTGCGTTCGTACGCGACGGAGTTCCACGACACATTCAATCTGTGAGTGTGACGCTTTCCACCGACAGTCTGGTAAGCGGACAATGCTCTTCATGCGCCAAACATGTCGAGGGACGCCTCTTCTTGCACACTACTGCCCGTCTAGCACATGGCGGCGATGGCGCTCGCCTGGAAATTGCGCTTCCTATTGGAAAGTGGTCATCCTGCTGGCCTAGTGATCGATCAAGATGCGGGAAAACAAGGTATGGCCCGGTGGCGTGTGGCAGTGTGGCCAAATTGCAGTCGACCCGATGAGGCCGCTGGGGCGCCGGAGGTAGGAAGAGAGTAGCTAGAGCCGAACCCAAGTTTGCAATGGTGTGGCCCCGGTGTGCTCGACCTTGGCCGTGTATGTTCATAGGGTGGCCGTACTGAGTCGCGGCTGGTTAAGGTTATCATTGCTCCTAGAATCCTATTCTGTCAAACAAACCTGGCTTTTGTTTCCAGTGGCCCTCTCACGGAAAGTAGCCGCGGAGGTCGAAATCATGCCCATAATCAAGTACTTTCGGCCGACCATCGGTCAGTGCCCACTACGCCGTATAATCTGTAGGTACTCGTACGGATAGAGCAGGGCATATGCGACGTCATAAGGGTTGATGCAGCATGGGAGTGCGGGTTGAGGGAGCATCAGACGATCTTGTGCATCCACCGTGGTGAAACGCGCGAAGGCCAGCTCGTTAGAGCCCTTGGCCTGCGTGCCTGCGTGCCTCGTGGGGCCTGCTGAGATACCGCTGATGATAAGCAACAAGGATGTTTCGATTATGCAATTTGCAAAAGGTTGGACTGTCGAGACTCGAGCCAAATCATTCTGTGTAGCCATACCGGGGTATTTGCTCATTACGTCGAAGAAGCCGTTGCACAATGTCGCTATTGGGCGTCGCGCAAGTCCCATCATGTGATTGAAGCACGAGCACACATTCAATAGAAAGAGCCAGTAGTGCCGCGACTTTTGGATGAGGCGGCGTCCAGACACCACTGCCAAGACATTGTGGCATATAGGTTGTCAGTCGGTGGTGGCTGGTCCAAGGAAGAGAAGGGACGTCGAGGCTAAGCCGGTTCGAGCGGCATTATGAAGTGCCAGGGCGGTCTGCAGAGAGGATTTTGGAGAATAAGATTGGCTTTCTGAGCTTGAAAACACACGGGCAGTGGTCCGTGATTCTGACGTGTTGGCAATGCTGATCTGCTGCGTAGCGACGCTGGATGAAGCCGCGGAGATTTTGGGTGACAGTGGACGACCATGGAGGGGCACAGGGATTGACAGGGGAAAAGAGGCTTGGAGATCCAGAGGGGGGCGGTTCGAATGCGACTAGGGTCTGTTTACCCAATGTCAATCCCTGTAGGCCTTACTGCGTTCATATCGCCTGTCGATTCTCGAGTCGGTATCCGTATTTCGAGTCCTGTGTACTCCGTAAGGGCCTGCTTTGGAGTCTGGCGTTCCCGACTCCCGCGGCTCCGTACATCCTGTGTATGCTGTGTGGGTGTTATCATGTCGTGGGCTGTGGGCCGTGGTGTGGTCGTGTTGGGTGACAGTATTCTCCTCTTTGAAAAATACGGGGATGATTTGCCGTGTGGCCCACTGAATAGCGATGGATACTCTCAAAGTGGCTCTCCTTTGAGTGACAGCCATCAGCAGGAAATTAGACCGCCATGGAGCTGGAGGGGAGTTGTTTGTGGAAGGGAAAAAGATTGACGACTCCTGGACTGAAAGGGGGAAGTTGTGAACATCATTTGCGCTTTCTGATCTTACGAGTACGTACCTGTCAGCGATGAACCCAGCACGTGCCAGGTACGTATCTACATACAGGATCTGTACGTACTCAGGTGGAAGGACGTTGAAATGTTTTGGGAAACAAAAATGCCCACAGCTTCCGCAGATTGTTCCTGCATTAGTTCAAGAAACCAGATGTTTGTGCTACTCCCCTCGAGTTATGCCTGCTTTGTGCAACTACTACACTACGGTACCTTACCCCTGGCTAAACTGTCAGACTTTCTTTTCAAAATGTTCAGGGTCAATTAACAAAGGGTGAGGGGCAAAGCACAGGTGCAGGCCACAGGGCACAAGGCACAACAAGGCTTTGCCAAGGGAAACCGGTACCCCTGTCTTCTGGCCCGAGGATGTCTCTTTCTCTCCTCTTTTGGCGGAGAACCCTGTTCCTCGTCTTCTCTCTGTGTTGTTGGCGCCTCTCTCTTCTCTTCTATTCTCTGTTCAGTTTCTGTCATGGCAGTGTCACTGTCTTCTGCCGCTAACGCTAACACTGTTGCACCTCTCATCGAGTCCTCCCTCCTTTGGTGAGATGATCATCCTTCACCTCCACATTTCGGTGCATTCCCGCTGCCCATCATCTCTCTCAGCTGGGCGGCCTCGCTGCCTCAGCGCTCAGCTCTTCCGCTCCTTTGTGCCATTTGGCTCTGAATAATCTCAAGGCGACTAATGCCGCGGGATGTCTCTCCCTACGGAACATTCTCTCTCTCCCTATCTAAGGGTATGAAGTCGGTCTCCTGGTTTCAACCACAGCAACGTGGTCTCGCTCGCTCCCGCATTCCTCAGGCAAACCTTTTCTTAACCTCCTCTTCCTCCGATCTCTCGTCTCACTCTCACCCGTGCTGCCCTGGCTGCATCTCGGAGACTGACGACCACTTTGTCCAGCCGACGAGACAGGGTAAGGCGAGGCGACTGAGCGAAATAACGACGGCCTGGATCTGCGAAACTACGGCCACTCAGTCACTCAAGTACCGAGTACGGCAGCAAATCCTTCGGCTCGCACAGCTTTACACCTTTGCCAGCTGTACCGCGTACAAAGTCTCACCGAACCATCCACTTGCCCAATCAGACATTCTATCCCTGTGACCATGAAATGTGCCACTTTTTGGCTCGCTTTCAAACATTGTTCCATGGTCCTTGATTGATTGACTCGTGCTGGGCAACCTTGCCTCCCAGGATTCTCGGGATCAGAGGAGGCACAGAGCGTTGACCAACTCTCAAGAGGGCCCGAGATTGGCGAACCCGACCATGAACAGCCACTTTTACTCTTTCACTCTTTTCACCGCCAGTGTGCAAACGCTCATATGGTTGATAGCCATTCACCCATTGACAGATTGTCCAGCTGGACGTTCAATAGACGCCCAGCACCTGTCATATGGTGCTAGCGTCAGCGGCTTTTCTCCTGCAATTGTGTGGATGTCTGCCTCTTTCCTCTCATTCTCTTCTTTTCGTTGGCGCAAGTGGCCAGCGTACAATAAGTCGAGAGCGAGATTGCTGTGCTTCATTGCTCAACACGAACGGGGAAATTGAAAGAGGCGCCAGAGATCCAATGAAGCTTAACGGGGCCGGCGCACAACTCCAGCGGCTACCATTAAGCAATGGCGTCCTATCCGGTCGTGTTCTCGACCCTCAATAAGCGCTCACAACTCATCTCTCTCTCTCCTGACCATAGGCTCCCACAGGCTACAGCCATGCGAGAGACCACATACTGCAGTCCAGCAAATAAGGTGGCAACGGCGTTTTCCCTCATGTTCTGCCACTAATGTAGCGCTATGCAGATGGGATCTAACCCCGGCCTAGAGTCCCAGCGGAAAGGCCGGGGTGAAGAACAAGGGTTCGTTGGCCGGCCTGGTCTGTACGGGCCAATTCGCCCAGGTGCTCTTTTGGTGCCATCCAACCTCTCCACCAAACCCCTGGATTAGCGTTCATGGGGCTGGATGTTAGCAGGCGTTGTGTAATTTCCCACTCTGTGTGCCTCGTTCCATGTCGCTCACTCACTCTCACTTGCTGTTGCCGTTCATGGGCGCCGTTGGCGGAGTGCCTAGCGGAGGAAACGGGAGGGGACCTGACTGACTCTCTCTCACACACACACCTTGTTCTCACTCTCATTCTCACTCGCCCATTCATACCGGGGAGAGGGGCCGTTTGAGTAAAGGACTCGCACTTGTCCAACATGGCCTATTAATATGCTGCCGTCCTCCCCGTTTGCCTTCAAACCTCTTCTTGTTCCTCCCTCTTCAGCCAAACAAGCCTCATCAATCTCAAGCATCCGCTTTTGACTCAACTTTGACTTCGGTCGTCCATTCTTTACCAAAGCTCTCTGCTTAAAAACACTCGCTCTCTTAATCCAACCAAACCAACAACTTCGTTTTCACGAAAACCCAACCCCCAATAACTCTATTCAAAATGCGTTACGCTGCTGTCGCCCTTGCCGTCGCTGGTGCCGTCATGGCTACCGCTGACGAGCCCGCCTCCACCGTCTTCTCCACCAAGTACTTCACCATCACCTCCTGCGCTCCCGAGGTCACCAACTGCCCTGCCCGCAGCACCGTCGTCTCCTCCAGCGTCGTGGCCGTTCCCACCACCCCCGCCGTCTCCGTCACCGAGTCCGGCGTCAAGCCCACCGCCACCGCTCCCGTCGTCGTCGTTCCTCCCCCCTCCGGCGGCAACAGCACCGCTCCCCCCTCCGTCCCCGCGGTCCCCAAGCCCACCACCGAGAGCGGTGCTAAGCCCGTCCCCGTCACCACCGGCGGCGTTGCTCCCTCCGTCTCTGCCCCCGCCACCCTGGCCACCAGCGCCGCTGCCTCCGTCTGCGGTGGAAGCTCCGTCAAGACCATCTCTACCAGCGTCACCACCGTCATCCCCACCGTCATCTACGAGACCGTCCAGATCCCTTGCCCTACCCCCAGCAAGCCCTCTGCGACTATCCCTGGTGTCCCTACCGGTGGCAACGGAACGTGAGTACTTCCAATATCAAAGATGAAGACAAAAAAACCAAGATGCTAACTCTCCGAATCAGTGCTGTTCCCCCCACCAAGACTCCCGTCACTGCCGGTGCCGCTGGCCTGACCGGCTCCGCCATCCTGGCCGCCGTCGCCGGTGTTGCCGCCTTTGCCTTCGCATAAATTCCTTACTCTTCTGGACATCTCTTCTGAGGAAAAGCCAACCAAGGCTACGGCAGTTTACGATCAAATCTAACGGGTGTTCTTTTTGCTGGGGAGTCTTAAGAGGAAATGTAAAAAAGAGGCCCTTTCTTCTCTTTGTACATTGTATCTTAACGGAATGCAAAAACAATACCATTTGTACCTAATCTTCTAATTGTATTTGGGGGACGTATGGGATGAGCGCAGATGAAGTAACCTTGCGATTGAGACATCGAGCGCGAGGGACTTTGGTTTGGCTTATTCCCGACGACCTGGCTTTAACGACGAAGTGTTTGGGGAAAACATATCTTTACCAAGAGTGATTATTCGCGACGTGACATTCGCTGCTCAGAGCGGTTGGTGAGAGTGATATCGAAGAGTGGTTGAAGTGATGCTCCTCAAGTGAGGTGACATCCGCCTTACAGCGACCTTCCCCGGACTTTTTTAAAACGCCTCACAGTTGGGAAATGAGACGGCAACTATCCGCATTGATCATTAGCCTTCCCCATCTGCGGACGACTCCGACGGCACCGAAATCCATCAGCTCAGACCATTCTATGCGTACGGGAGTACATACACACCGAATCGAAATAACCATCAGCAGACAAAATAAGCAACCAATCGAAACGGAATCGAACGAACCACTGTCACTTCGGATGACTTTTTTTCGGCCAAGACTTGAGGACGTGGACGGGTCTATGCAAGGAACAAGGAGGATCGGCCCTGTCAAATGATCTTGTCCACGCACCCCTGGGCCCTCCTCTCACCTCTCACCATCTCAGTGTGTGTCTCTCTCGCACAGGCACAGGCACAGGCACAGGGGGTGCAAAAGAACAACGGCCCTTACGGTTTACCCCACAGGATCAACTTTGAGGGACTTTCGGGAGATTACGATTTGGACGAACGGGTGACCGCGATTGGTCGGACGGTACCCCGGTCGCAATTTGGACGAAACGCTCGGCTCCGCCCAATGGGATGAACGGCTTCCCCGACGACTTCTCTCCCACTCTTTCCTGCAGCCTGCACAATTGTTCGGGTTTCCTTTCGTTGTGCACATCATAGCAGAACCTGCAATCAAGGTTCACCGAGGGAACGGCGAAGATGAGAGGAGGGGAGGGAAGGGGATTACACCACATCCCATCCATGCGCTGGGGGAAGTTTCGCAAAAGAGTCAGCCTGGCGCGCGCCAGAAAAGGAAGGCGAATCGATGAGAAAGAGAGAGAGTCTGGGTGTTCTGGACCGTATCCCATGATTCCATTTGATCACCTCCCAAGGATGCGAGGCGCAGTTCCGCCTTGGATTTCGGAGGTTATT